TCGGTTAAAAATTCTGTTAAAATCTTAAAAATACCGAATGTAGCCATTATATTAGGGTCTATACGACGACGAGACCTGCATAGGCAACTTTTGTCATAAACCATTACAATATTCAAATGCGAAACTTAAAAAAAAAATCGGCGAATAATGTAGCTAAAATTATCAAAATACCGAATATCTGGGGGTACCGTTATATGGGGGGCTATACGAAGATGTGAACCTGCACAGACAATTTTCTGTCATAGGCTATAGTACCCATTACGAACTTCAAATACCAAATTTGAAACAATTCCGATGAATAATGTCGCTAAAATCATCAAAATACCGAATATCTGGGGGTACCGTTATATGTGGACTACACAAAACGTGGACCTACATCACCCATTTTCAATTTCAGATATAATACACATTTGAGTAAAATTTTATCAACCTACTTCAATTCGTTCGGAAGCTAGAGTGATTTCCGCAGACAGACATTTGATGTTCGTAATAGATACTACAGCCTATGACCAAAAATTTTCTGTGCAGGTCCACATCGTCGTATAGCCCCATATAGCGGTACCTCCCTACATTTGGTATTTTGATGATTTTAGCGAAATTATTTACCGGAAGTGTTTCAAATTTTGTATTTGAAGTTGGTAATGGATACTACAGCCTATGACAGAAAACTGTATTTGCAAGTCTACGTTTTGGTATAGCTCCATATAATAGTACTTCCCTATATTCGGTATTTTGATGATTTTTATGATGCAGGTCCACGTAGTCGTATAGACTACCTTCGGTATTTTTTAGATTGTGACAGAATTTTTAACGGATTTTTTTTATTTATTAAAAATTGCCAAATTCGTTCCAAGTGGTGGGGGCCAAACTTATAGCTATTTTACTTGTCATACTTGTTTTAATATAGATACAAATATTGAAATGTGCTAGGTTGGTAGAAAATCTGGCATTTTCAGAACTGATATAAGACTGATTAGTTTGTATATTATTACCATTTGTGTGGATACCATAAGGGTGAGGAATGGACTGATATTACACATTCGAACAGTATCTAAGTTTGACTGAAATATTACGGTATGTTTTGTTTAGCCAGAACCGGATATTATTTTCGAAAGCACATCAAATACTTAACTTGGATGATGTAAATGTTCAAAACTTTAAAACACATGAATCGTGATTGAATTTTATGCAAATTTAGTATTTACAGATAAAATGGACTGTTTTTTCCATGGTCTTAAATTTTAACCCCAAGAATTAATTTTCATGAAAGCTGTGTCCGTATTAATGGTAAGAACGGCTTGAAGCAAACGAATTTTTTAATGTTTTCTCTCAATATGTAACTAAACCACATATTTCATGGTTTTCTAGTTAAAGTGAAAGTACTAGGCTATAATTCTTTAGTAGTGTGTTTCTGACAGCTTTAAAATACAAAGATGTACGGGATATTGAGCTATTAGGCGCAATTAGTTCTTAGAAAAGGAGGTGGATTAAAAAAATTTGTAAAATAAAAAAATGTCACCCTTTTTCAAACAATCATCAATTTTTAAACATCACCATTAAAGAAACATTTGATTGCAGAATTTGGTTTCCTGGTTTCTGATTTCCTAGTAATATTTACCCATATTTATGACACAATTGAGCACAAGTCTAAAATAAATTACCACAATTTTCCTCGTATTATAAATTTAAACATTACCCTCCACTGGACATCAAATAGACAAAATAACTAGAAAATGCTGATAGTCTTTGGTCACCTCTCTCTCTTGACCATTCTGCTAATTGCTAAGCAAAATTCCAATGTTACATTTCGAATATTCTACTGATTTTCTACGTAAGACTTTGTAAGAGGAAATCTGCAAATTCAATGAAATCTCACACAATTGTAGAATTTCTGGAAATATGTACCAATTTTCGCACATCAGTAGTTTTTGTCGGTCGGCCTTTCACAGAACATAGAAAGTTGAGTGTTCTTAGTATTTGGTTTCGGAGAGTTTGTCATGATTAGTTGTAAATTTCATGAATAGCTTGAAATTGTTGATAAGCCAGTAAATTCATAATAATTGAGTAAGGTTTGCAATTATTGTTTAGATAGCAATTTCGTTTTGACATTGCTCGCATCGCAATCATTGCTTTAGATAGATATAGCGAATATGAGTGCATGTTTCCTCAATTTCATATAGACAACGAATGAACAATGCTACATATGTATGATTAAAGGTTTTTTTTTTTCATTTAATGCAGGACAAAAAACAGGCATTCTGCTTCTTTTAATATTTTTTTCAACCTAAATCAATATTTGCTCACAATTTTGGAAATGAAATCCTTAAAAAAATTCTGTTAAAATTTTAAAAATACCGAATATAGCCGTTATATTGGTGCCTATACGACGTGGACCCACACAGGCATTGCTTGTCATAAGTCATTACCAAATTCAAATTCGGAACTTGAAATATTGAGTTCAAAATATCGTATATAGGGAGGTACCATTATATCGGAGCTGCGCGAAGACCTGGACCAGCATAGACAATTTTATGTCATAGGCTGTAGCATCCATTACGAACTTCAAATATTACATTGCAAACAATTTCGGTGGGTATTGTACCTAAACTTGTCAAAATACTGAATATAGGGAGGTACCGCTATATGGGGGCTATACGAAGACCTGGATCTGCATAGAAAATTTTCTGTCACAGACTGTAGATTCCATTACGAACTCTAAATGCGTAATTTGAAAAAATTCCGCTGAATAATGACGCTAAAATCATCAGAATACCGAATATTGGGGGGTACCGTTATATGAGGGATATACGAAGACGTGGACCTGCACAGACAATTTTCTGTCTTAAGCTATAATATCCGTTGCGAACTTCAAATACCAAATTTTGAAGCATTCCGGTTAATAATGTCGCTAAAATCACCAAAATACCGAATATCTGGAGGTACCGTTATATGGGGGCTATATGAAAACGTGGACATACATTGCCCATTTACGAAGTTAACCTGCATACTGTCCTTTTAATACTGTTACAGAAAAAAAAATTTTTTTTCTTTACTCCAGCATTTAAATGTGAATGAAACTTTTGTGTCTCATAACATCGCTGGTTACCGTGACACTGGTAGCGTAGCCCGACGTCAAGGAAGTGGACGGAAGAAAACAGCAACATCAGCAGAAATGGTTCGAATAGTAAGGAAGCGATTTGATCGAAACCCGCGTCGCAGTGGCCGAAAAATTGCTCGTGAGCCTAACATATCCCAATATTCCATTCGGCAAATATTGAAAAATGAGATCGGGGTAAAGCCGTTGAAAATCCAAAAAGTGCAAAAACTTACACCGCAACATAAAAAAATGTACTCAAAAGACCTAAAGAGTTGCTTCGCTTGGCCGAAAGTGGTAAACTGCCGAATTTGGTTTTCTCCGATGAGAAAACATTCGTTGTCCAGCAGTTTGTAAACAAACAAAATTATTGTGTTTACTTTCCAAAGAGGTCAGCTTTGGTTGGCCGCCATAACAGCCGATGGTCGCTCTCCGCTCGTATTAATCGACCGTGGCATCAGAATTAAACATTTCAGAATCAAACATTTTGGCCGCAGACCTTGGACATTCCAACAGGACTCAGCACGCGCCACCCAAGAGTGGTTACAAAATTATGTTCCTCGCATCATTTCCAGCGCACAATGGCCACCAAAATCTCCGGGTACCAATCCGTTGGACTATTGTGTCTGGAGTATTTTGGAAAAAAATACCAAAGTGTCGACCACCTCAAGCAAGCGCTTCGCCGGAAATCGGCCAAAATACCGCAAAATGGCAGTGTATGAAGGTTTCATTGGCCAGTTAAAGGCCATAATTCGTGCCAAAAGTGACCAATTCGAACAAATCTAAACTTATTCTAAAATTTGATGCTATTTACGACATTTTTTGCTGTCATTCAATAAAATATAAAAAAAAAAAAATGTAAAAATTATGGCGTTTGACTTTGTTGCAGTTTTTTTTATATCATCTTGTAGAGTGGTTATACCCTTTAAAAAAATTCGAAGAACGTTCCAATTCCGGTTTAAGTTTAGCCTATATACCATAGGCTGCGGGTTTAGAGCTGGTGGAATACCCTTCATCTACTTTTTAACATGTTTGATACATTATACAAACATGTACTTCAAAATTCGACAAACCAAAAATTACTTAAAAATTGTATTTCTGCTCTCCTGAAAAGTCCTTTCGACACATTCCGTTATGTCTGAAAACCACAGACATGTAGTCGCTTTACATAAACTTTTTATGTGACTCGTAAATATGGGCACTTATCAGGGACGTATGCAGTGGGGAATATTGGGAGCCGGCCCTCTCCCGAAATGACTACCATTCTGACATATTTTGTAAGTTTAATTTTTTTTGTATTTCGAAATGGCTACGAAATTCATTGCTGTGTACGTCCCTGGTACTGGTTGAAGTCATCAAATAAATTTTAAAGCATTTCTCAACGTTGTGCTGGAACTATCTATGAAATTTCCATATTGGCTTTTTCAGTTGCTGAACACAGAATTCAGTTCGGCGAAACTTTTATGTACCTACAAGTTTATATGGAAAACACATTTTTTTTTTTTTTGATAAACCAACACAGCCTGCACAGTTGTGACAGCGTCAACTTATTTGCTGTAGTTCCATTGAATCCGTTGTCATATGGAAATGTGTATTTCCGTCTATTTTGCACTGTCACCATGTCCTGTTGTGAGTTCGTGACTCGTAGCGAACATCTATACAAATTGTGTGGTTGGTTACGAAGGGTAATCTGTTCGTATGTTCTTTAAGGTCAATTGGAATTCAAATGAACTGAGAATTTTATTGAAATCTGCATTTGCTGGAAATCTTCTCGGCTAAACTCTGAGCTGGAAACACTTTAATAAATACTTGAAACTGAAATCGCATCTTTTGGACAACTTTTTTTTGATTGTTGTTAATATACTTTTAATTAAGTGACCACATCTGGAATGGCAGGACTACTTACGTGTTGGGAACATTTCTCATTTGACGCACTGTTAAGAAGACAATAATTAGTGTGCCGTTGCCCAGGACACCGACAATGAAGATGAAGGCAAACAGCACTGGAACAATGTACGTTTCCGGGCGCATAACATACGGCACATATGGGGTTTCGGTGGCATTCATTATGCCACCAACTTCGTTGCTGCTAACATTTGTGGCCAAGTATGTGACTGGAGTGTTGAGCGTCGCAATGGTGGCGTTGACGATGCTGGCCGCCGCTGTCATGGCTGCTGTCACAGCAGAAGTAAAGTTATTGCTATTCGGCCAACGGTGTGTGTTGTGGAGGGAGGGTGGTGGGGTGAAAAGGTCACTGTTGTTGCCACCTGTAGCCACCGGCACAAGAGGGGTGGCAAAGGCGGTCGTTGAAAAGATTTCGTTGGAATGTATGGCATTTACAAGTGTGCTTAGCAGAGTGGCATTTGTTTCTGGACTCAGAGGGGTTGTGGCGTTTCCAACATTCGGACCCATGTCGCTCGTTATAACATTTAGCATTGCTTTTCTTTTTGTAGTGTCCTATTTTATGTTGTTTTCATTTAGCTAGTCCTTGGATACCTCATAACTTATTCGCAGGTTTTTGGTCATTTATAGCTAGATTTTGTATAATTTTGGTTTTAGTTGGTTGTAATGCAAAATATAATTATTCCATCCAACAAACGGGAATCTGAAAGGAAAAAAGTAACGAATTTGTTGTCGAAGAATCAAAATGAATAAAAACATATTAAAACGTATCAGTCGGTTATGCCGACAGATGTATACCCTCAGCCTATGTCAGTTTATTAAAATATATTTTGACTTACTTAACGATTATTCAAAAATATTGACTCTTTTTGGAGGAGATACCGAAGGAGAAGGAGGGATCTGAACCAACTCTGATACAAATATTACAACGTGCCCGATTTGGACCATATTGAGAAGTGCTTTCACTTTATAGGAGATACGTGATAATTTTTGGAAAATTTTGAAATATGAGAGAGGTACCAGATATTCTGGACCGAAGTGTTCCACCTTGTTTAATGGTGATTAAATATTTCGATGTGCACAATTTGAAGAAAATCAGACATCTGTAACCAATTTTTGAGAATAATTGTTAACCATATTTTTAACCTTTTATGGGGGAGTTACGAGAAAGGGTGAGCCAATAAATTCCGTAATAATGCATAGATGACTTGTTTCCCAATTTATGAGTAATATAAGTATTTAAAATTGTTATCCTTTGTGGTAGAGGTACCAGAAGGAGTAGGCCGATATCTATCATCTTTATGCCAGATCTTGTATTATCTTATCTTATGTTATTAGATATATTGAAATATTCCGAGTTTGAAAGAGATTGGATGCTAATTTCACGTTTTATGCGCTTAATGGTTATTCACAACGGAACTTGTGTTGATAAAGATATTGAAATGTGCGAAATTTGAAGACAATCGGGCTCTTATTTCACAATATCCAGCAGTTAATATTATTCCAAATGTTGACCCTTGGTGAAGGAGGTACTTGATGGTGTGGGCCTATACATATATTAGGATTTGAAAATTATTTCCTAGAAATTGTTACCCTTCTTTGGTGGAGGTACCAGAAGGAGTGGACCTATATTGCCCATCTCCGAACTTGATCATAGTTTAATAATAATATTACGATGTACCAAGCCAGCCAGACAGAAAGAGACGAACGGACAACCCTTGATCGACTCCAAATGTCCTGAAATGGACATGGTCCAACACCGTTATTTCGATTATGCAAGTTTATCAAACGATAACTACCCTCGTTGCCATAGGGCTGAGGGTATAAATAAATGTTTCGGAATGAATGCACCGCATACTAAAATAACTCTACACTAAAATTTTTAACACAATGCTCCAAATATACAGGGTGAGATGAAAAAAATGCAACCAACTTCAGATTGCTGCCATTTCTAAGCCACTCGTCCGACAGCTGTTAAAATTATTCCAGTGACAGCTCATTGTATTGTTTAAAAGCGTACAAAAGCATTTTGGTGAGAATTTTCCAGAAAAAAAGTTATTCGTGATAGAATTCAAGCGTGATGGTGTGATTTCTTTATATTTGACTGGAAAATCACAAGTGGTTATAGTTAGAGCACTCCAGCATTTAACTGTCACCGTAATAACGGTAGCGTAGCCCGACGTCATGGAAGTGGAGGGAAGAAAACATCAACCTCAGCAGAAATGGTTCGAAAAGTAAAGAAGCGACTTGATCTAAACCCGCGTCGCAGTGACCGAAAAATTGCTCGTGAGCTGAACATATGGCAATATTCCATTCGGCAAATATTGAAAAATGAGCTCGGAGTAATGCTATTGAAATTCCAAAAAGTGCAAGAACTTACACCGCAACAGAAAGAAAATAGACTCAAAAGAGCTAAAGAGTTATTTCGCTTGGCCGAAAGTGGCGAACTGCCGAACTTTGTTTTCTCTGACATTCCAGCAGTTTGTAAACAAACAAAATGATCGTGTTTACTTGCCAAAGAGGTCAGCTGAAAATGTGCACCTTCGGGTGGGCCGCACCTTCCGTTTGGGCGTTGGCCACCATAACTGCCGATGATCGCTCTCCGCTCGTATTAATCGACCGTGGCATCAGAATAAATGCCGAATATCATCGCGAAAATATTTTGGAGGGAGTATTAAAGCCTTAGACACGCAAACATTTTGTCCGTAGACCTTGAACAAAATGAGGTTCCTCGCTTCATTTCCAGCGCTCAAAGGGTACCAATATCTCCGGATACCAATCCGTTGGACTATTGTGTCAGGAGTATTTTGGAAAGCAAGATTGGCACCAAAAAATACCGAAGTGTCGATCACCTCAAGCAAACGCTTGGCCTGGAATGGGCCAAAATACCGCAGAGCAACATTCGGGCAGCGTGTGATTGTTTTATTGGCCGTTCGAAGGCCATAATTCGTGCCAAAGTTGACCAATTCGAACAAATCTAAACATATTCTAAAATTTGATGTTATTTTCGACATTTTCTGCTTTCATTCAATAAAATTAAAAAAAAAAAACAAGTTAAAAAGCAGTAAGTTCGGCCGGGCCGATCTTTGAATACCCTCCACCATTTGAACGAATTTGGAAATTTTCAATTTAAAAACCGTGAAAAATTCTGTTAAAATCTTAAAAATACCGAATATAGCTGTTATTGTGGGGCTTATACGACGTGGACCTACATTGTTGTCATAAGCCATTACCATTTTCAAATTCGAGACTTGAAATAAACGGTGAATAATGTAGCTAAAATCATCAAAACACCGAACCGTTTCATCGGAGCTATACGAAGACCTGGACTTGCATAGACAATTTTCTGTTACTGCCTGTAGTATCTATTACGAACTTGAAATACGGTATCTCAAACAATTTCCATGAGTATTGTACCTAAAATCGTCAAAATACCGAATATGGGGAGACAGTTAAATGTGGGGCCTATACAAAGTCCTGAACCTGCATAGACAATTTTCTGTCTTAGGCTGTAGTATCCATTTGCAACTTCAAATACCAAATTGGAAACAATTCCGTTGAATAATGTTGCTTAAATCATCAAAATACCGAATATCGGAAGGTACAATTATATGGGGGCTATACAGGGACGTGGGTCTGCACAGACAATTTTCTGTCTTAGGCTGTAGTATTCCTTTGGAACTTCAAATATCAAAGTTGAAACAATTCCTGCCTACTGGTAAAATATACATGTCTGCGAAATTTTAGCCTTCTATCTCGATTCGTTCGAAATATAGCGTGATTACAACATACAGACAGACTCACATACAGACAGACGGACATCGCTAAATCGACATAGAATTTAACGCTGATCAAGAATATATATACTTTGTTGGGTCTGATATGAGGAGGGTATATTAATTTTTTCATTCCGTTTGTAACACGTCGAAATAATAGTTTTATACCTAGCAAAGTATATATATTCTTGATCAGCATAAAATTCTAAGTCAGTCCTCCACCCCTGCCTCATATAATTGAACCTCCCCATATTCGGTGTTTTGACGATTTTAGCCACTCCCTCCAAAGTCATAGTTTAAACCAGTAAAGAAAGTCTTAAAGTCGGGCGGGGCCGATTTTATGATACCCTACACCACTTTGCTAATTAAGTAGAGCTCCACATAACAATTAAAAGTTTTTATGGGAGAATTTAATCATACACGCTATGATTATAATTATAATTTAAAGTTCAAAGTACTAAATATGCCGAAGCTTTTGTATCTTTTAAATTCGGAATTGTATTGCCCATTTGGTGCACAATTAATTTGAAATCGGATAAAGATATATATGGGAGCTATATCCAAATCTGAACCGATCTCGATAAAATTTGGCAAAGATATTTCCGAGCTGTATTTGATATATTTCCCTGAATATCGTTGTTACGGAGTGCATATTACGGTTGTGGGTAACAAATATAACAAATCGGATGAATATTATATATGGAAGCTATAGCTATATCTGAACCGATCTTCACCAAATTTTCTAGACTCAATTCGGTCGTATGTCCCAAATTTCATCCCATTTAAGCAAATATTAGACGTTTGGTGCACAATAAAAGGTAAATCGGACGCAGTTATATATGGGAGCTATATCCAAATCTGAACCGATCTCGATAAAATTTAGCAAATGTATTTCTGAGCTGCATTTGATAAATTTCCCCAAATATTGTTGTTGCATAGTGCATATTACGGCGGCGGTGGACAAAAATAACAAATCGGATGAACAATATATATGGGAGCTATAGCTATATCTTAACCGATTTCAAATTTGGCATACATATTTTCAGGCCTAATTTGGGTGTATATGCAAAATTCCATACAATTCGGGCTGATATTACACGTTTGGTGCACAATAGAAGGCAAATCGGACGAAGATATATATGGGAGCTATATCTAAATTTTGACCGATTATCTCCAATTTCAGTAGGGTTCGTCCTTGGGCCAAACAAAAGATCTTTGCAAAATTTCATCAGGATCGGGCAATAAATGCGACCTGTACTTTGTTTACAAAAATACATGGACAGACGGACGGACGGACAGACGGACGGACGGACATGCATAAATCGACTTAGAATGTGATTCTATGCAGATCATCAAAAGGAACTATGGGTCTATCTCGTTTCCTTCTGCCTGTTACAAACAAATGCACAAAGACGTAATACCCTGACCACCTTGTGGTGTAGGGTATAAAAATCGATATTTAGAGTTCATATTTGATTCTACATCCTGTAGCAGAACACTGTCTATATAGGTCCTCTTTTTCCTGCAGTCCCCATATTTTACATTTCAAACTTTACGATTGCAGTTATCATGGATAAAGATTATTGACGTTCTCTTGGTTTTCTCATATAACAAGAATTTAGTGTTCAGCTAAGTCCAAAACTTGGTACATATCAGGTGGAAAATAAGAAAATATCCTCCCAATCCTTCAGGCAACTCCCCCATAAAAATCAAATTATTATTCAAAAAATCCTAAAAAATGTGCATATACCACATACTTTTTGTTACCTTCTCTACAATTGACTAATTGATTTAGACGATACTTTGGTCGTAGAGTTACGTCTCCATCTTCTCTTAGCTTTTTATACCTTCCACCTTGAAATGGAGGATATATTAACTTTATCATTCCGTTTGTAACATGTCTAAATATTC